CTGCTACATAAACCCTGCTGTCTGTCCAAAGGGGGTGGAGCCTCTCTTCAGGCCCTCCTGTCTCGTTACGATTGGTCGGAGCACAGACCTCAGATCAGCCGACACACTTTGACAGACCTGTCCTGTCCCGCCCTGCTGACCTCTGACCTGCAGTCATGTGACCCTCACAGCTTCATGGAGTGGGTCGGAGCTGTGGACGCCAACGTCAGCTGGTAAGAGGAGGACGCCGTGAGGACGTGTCACACCTGTCAGCTCTGTCACATGACCTGGCTTCTTCTGTCGTTTCAGTGAGAACTCGTCCAGCAGCTTCCTGTCCTCGCTCGTTTGTCCCGAGCCCAGGACGACCGTCAGCCGAGCTCTAAGCGTGTCCGTCTGCGGCCTGCTCCTCCCCCACGATGTCCACCGTCTCATCCAGGAGATCAGGTGACCAGATTAACATGATGTGTCTGAAGCTCCTCCCACCACTGCTGCTTCACCTGTCTGTACCTGACTCACCTGTCTGTGCCTGACTCACCTGTCTGTGCCTGACTCACCTGTCTGTGCCTGACTCACCTGTCTGTGCCTGACTCACCTGTCTGTGCCTGACTCACCTCCTGTACCTGACTCACCTGTCTGTGCCTGACTCACCTCCTGTGCCTGACTCACCTGTCTGTACCTGACTCACCTCCTGTACCTGACTCACCTGTCTGTACCTGACTCACCTCCTGTACCTGACTCACCTCCTGTACCTGACTTACCTGTCTGTGCCTGACTCACCTGTCTGTACCTGACTCACCTCCTGTACCTGACTCACCTCCTGTGCCTAACTCACCTGTCTGTGCCTGACTCACCTGTCTGTGCTTGACTCACCTGTCTGTGCCTGACTCACCTGTCTGTGCCTGACTCACCTCCTGTACCTGACTCACCTGTCTGTGCCTGACTCACCTGTCTGTACCTGACTCACCTCCTGTACCTGACTCACCTGTCTGTACCTGACTCACCTCCTGTACCTGACTCACCTCCTGTACCTGACTCACCTGTCTGTGCCTGACTCACCTCCTGTGCCTGACTCACCTGTCTGTACCTGACTCACCTCCTGTACCTGACTCACCTCCTGTGCCTAACTCACCTGTCTGTGCCTGACTCACCTGTCTGTGCTTGACTCACCTGTCTGTGCCTGACTCACCTCCTGTACCTGACTCACCTGTCTGTGCCTGACTCACCTGTCTGTACCTGACTCACCTCCTGTACCTGACTCACCTGTCTGTACCTGACTCACCTCCTGTACCTGACTCACCTGTCTGTGCCTGACTCACCTCCTGTGCCTGACTCACCTGTCTGTACCTGACTCACCTCCTGTACCTGACTCACCTGTCTGTACCTGACTCACCTCCTGTACCTGACTCACCTCCTGTGCCTAACTCACCTGTCTGTGCCTGACTCACCTGTCTGTGCCTGACTCACCTGTCTGTACCTGACTCACCTGTCTGTACCTGACTCACCTCCTGTACCTGACTCACCTCCTGTACCTGACTCACCTTCTGTACCTGACTTACCTGTCTGTACCTGACTCACCTCCTGTACCTGACTCACCTTCTGTACCTGACTCACCTGTCTGTACCTGACTCACCTCCTGTACCTGACTCACCTGTCTGTACCTGCTTCACCTCCTGTACCTGACTCACCTTCTGTACCTGCTTCACCTCCTGTACCTGACTCACCTTCTGTACCTGCTTCACCTCCTGTACCTGACTCACCTTCTGTACCTGACTCACCTTCTGTACCTGCTTCACCTCCTGTACCTGACTCACCTGTCTGTACCTGACTCACCTGTCTGTGCCTGACTCACCTCCTGTACCTGACTCACCTCCTGTGCCTGACTCACCTTCTGTACCTGCTTCACCTGTCTGTACCTGACTCACCTTCTGTACCTGACTCACCTCCTGTACCTGACTCACCTCCTGTACGTGCCTGACTCACCTCCTGTACCTGCTTCACCTCCTGTACCTGACTCACCTCCTGTGCCTGACTCACCTCCTGTACGTGCCTGACTCACCTCCTGTGCCTGCTTCACCTTCTGTACCTGACTCACCTCCTGTACCTGACTCACCTCCTGTACGTGCCTGACTCACCTCCTGTACCTGCTTCACCTCCTGTACCTGACTCACCTCCTGTACCTGACTCACCTCCTGTGCCTGACTCACCTCCTGTACCTGCTTCACCTTCTGTACCTGACTCACCTCCTGTACGTGCCTGACTCACCTCCTGTACCTGCTTCACCTCCTGTACCTGACTCACCTCCTGTACCTGACTCACCTCCTGTGCCTGCTTCACCTCCTGTACCTGCTTCACCTCCTGTACCTGACTCACCTCCTGTGCCTGCTTCACCTCCTGTACCTGCTTCACCTCCTGTACCTGACTCACCTCCTGTGCCTGACTCACCTCCTGTACCTGCTTCACCTTCTGTACCTGACTCACCTCCTGTACGTGCCTGACTCACCTCCTGTACCTGACTCACCTTCTGTACCTGCTTCACCTCCTGTACCTGACTCACCTCCTGTACCTGACTCACCTCCTGTGCCTGCTTCACCTCCTGTACCTGCTTCACCTCCTGTACCTGACTCACCTCCTGTGCCTGCTTCACCTCCTGTACCTGCTTCACCTCCTGTACCTGACTCACCTCCTGTGCCTGCTTCACCTCCTGTACCTGACTCACCTCCTGTGCCTGCTTCACCTCCTGTACCTGCTTCACCTCCTGTACCTGCTTCACCTCCTGTACCTGACTCACCTCCTGTGCCTGCTTCACCTCCTGTGCCTGCTTCACCTCCTGTGCCTGACTCACCTCCTGTACCTGACTCACCTCCTGTACCTGACTCACCTCCTGTGCCTGCTTCACCTCCTGTACCTGCTTCACCTCCTGTACCTGCAGGTGTTACCTGGAGCAGCCTCACCTGGAGTCCTGGGTGTGTCTGACAGTTCACGGTTATGCTGACAGTCCTGTTTCGTGGGGCGATAACGAGCACAGCGTCCTGAAAGGAGGAGAAAACTTCTACAGTCTGCTCATGTTCCAGGACGACACCTACCACCTTCACCTGGCTACAGGAGCTCACGACACCTGTCCACCCTGACCACACCTGTCCCCTCAGGCTGGGACACATGTTCAAAGATGAAACTGTTAATGTGATGAAAACTTGATCAGATATTTTCTGACTTTATTTGTATTTGAGGTTTTTTTATTTTCTTGTTTTTTGTACAAATTGAAGAAAATAAAGTTTCTGTTATTGTTGAACTGTTTGAATGAAGTTTGTGTTAACAGTTAAGAGTTCAGGCTCGTGTTTCTAACCACAGACTGAACAGAAGACGACCACCTGACTGTTGAAGGTAGCTGGTCTTAGTGGAGCTCTGTTGGTCCATAAAGCTCACAGAGACCCATTATTAGTCTGATATTTACAGGAACAAATCTCAAAAAAGCACAAACACGGCCCAGAGGACACTAGTGGACACTGGAGGAACTGCAGCTGTAAAGTTAGACATTTTAACATAGAGCTCTATGAGGACTGACTCACTGCAGGAGACAGACTCTAGTGGACACTGGAGGAACTGCAGCTGTAAAGTTAGACATTTTAACATGGAGCTCTATGAGGACTGACTCACTGCAGGAGACAGACTCTAGTGGACACTGGAGGAACTGCAGCTGTAAAGTTAGACATTTTAACATAGAGCTCTATGAGGACTGTCTCACTACAGGAGACAGACTCTAGTGGACACTGGAGGAACTGCAGCTGTAAAGTTAGACATTTTAACATGGAGCTCTATGAGGACTGACTCACTGCAGGAGACAGACTCTAGTGGACACTGGAGGAACTGCAGCTGTAAAGTTAGACATTTTAACATAGAGCTCTATGGGGACTGACTCACTGCAGGAGACAGACTCTAGTGGACACTGGAGGAACTGCAGCTGTAAAGTTAGACATTTTAACATGGAGCTCTATGAGGACTGACTCACTGCAGGAGACAGACTCTAGTGGACACTGGAGGAACTGCAGCTGTAAAGTTAGACATTTTAACATAGAGCTCTATGGGGACTGACTCACTGCAGGAGACAGACTCTAGTGGACACTGGAGGAACTGCAGCTGTAAAGTTAGACATTTTAACATGGGGCTCTATGAGGACTGTCTCACTGCAGGAGACAGACTCTAGTGGACACTGGAGGAACTGCAGCTGTAAAGTTAGACATTTTAACATAGAGCTCTATGGGGACTGACTCACTGCAGGAGACAGACTCTAGTGGACACTGGAGGAACTAGAGTTTTTTTGTACATTAGATATTTTTTCAGCACTGGACACTGGGGCCTGTCCCCCTCTTCTTCTGTGGTGTTAAAATTGCAGTGACAGGAGCATGAGCTCCCCCTGCTGATTGGCTGCATCAACATCAACTATAGGTCTTCAGTAAATATCATTTACAGGTAACAACGTCTGGAGGCCGTTACTACCAACAGAGTTGAACACACCCAGAGTGTGAGCGTGTTGGTGTTAGCTTCATGTCAGCAGACTGAGATACATGAAGAAGTGAAGCACATAACCCTGAACAGCTGCAGCTAAACACAAAGACATGTCAGTGAATCTCCTGTTGATGATGTCTCTGATGTACGGAGCTTTGTGGGGCTTAGAAACATGAAAGCCTTGTTAGATCTTAGATGTAGAGAAAGAAGAAGCTGAAGGCTGATAAGATTCATAGATTTCATATTAAACTGTGTGTGTGTCGCTCTCTCTCCCCCCTCACTTCACACAGTGAAGAGATCTGATTGGTCAGTGGGCAGAGTGTCATACAGGTTGAACACCACACCAACGTTTGGAGCAGACAGGATTCAGTATAAGTTCAGACTTCAGCCTGAAGTTAAACCCCCCCCCCGATCATACAGAGTCATGAGGGCTCCCCCTGCAGGCTGCAGAAATCCCTACATCATGAGGCATGATGATGGCAGCATTTAAAGTAAACATAAAACGAGTCCACTTCCTGTTTATCGTCCACTTCCTGTTTATTGTCCACATAGTAATTTGTCAGAGGGGTTTCTGGGAAAAGGTCAGAGGTCACCTGTATTTAAAGGTACAGTCACCTCAGAGTCACATGTTCCAGTTCATCTGTGTTAGTCTAGCCTAGCTTAGCATAAAGACTGGAGGTGGAGCTAAAGAGTTACACTTCATCTGTAAATAAAATAATAACAATGATAAACAATTCATTTCATGTTTCCTGATTAATGTCTCTGCAGGAAACGTCAGGGGGCGTGGCCAGGGGGCGTGGCCAGGGGGCGTGGCCCATAAACTCCACCTATTAGATTAAATGGAGGTGGAATCAAACATAAGAGCACAAATTATAAGTTAAAAGTCACAACAAGTGTCAGTTTAAAATCCACTGAGTCACAGGACCAGGACCGGGTCCAGGTCCAGGTCCAGGTCCAGGTCCAGGTCCAGGTGTTGTTCTAGCAGAGCTCAGTGGTCCTCTGCAGGTACTGCAGGATGGCGTCTGTCCCCTGTGATGAGCCCCACACTCTCTTCAGAGCTTCACACTCGCGCTCGTTGGTTTGCTCCAGAGCACTGCGGCTGCTGTTCCTCATCAGAGCTTTGGACTCCCTCAGAACCTGCAGGACCAGAGCAGAACATCAAGAACCTCAGAGGAACCCACAGACCCACAGACCCACAGTCAGGACCAGAGCAGAACGTCAAGAACCTCAGAGGAACCCACAGACCCACAGACCCACAGTCAGGACCAGAGCAGAACATCAAGAACCTCAGAGGAACCCACAGACCCACAGTCAGGACCAGAGCAGAACATCAAGAACCTCAGAGGAACCCACAGACCCACAGACCCACAGTCAGGACCAGAGCAGAACGTCAAGAACCTCAGAGGAACCCACAGACCCACAGTCAGGACCAGAGCAGAACATCAAGAACCTCAGAGGAACCCACAGACCCACAGTCAGGACCAGAGCAGAACATCAAGAACCTCAGAGGAACCCACAGACCCACAGACCCACAGTCAGGACCAGAGCAGAACGTCAAGAACCTCAGAGGAACCCACAGACCCACAGACCCACAGTCAGGACCAGAGCAGAACGTCAAGAACCTCAGAGGAACCTGCAGACCCACAGACCCACAGTCAGGACCAGAGCAGAACATCAAGAACCTCAGAGGAACCCACAGACCCACAGACCCACAGTCAGGACCAGAGCAGAACGTCAAGAACCTCAGAGGAACCCACAGACCCACAGACCCACAGTCAGGACCAGAGCAGAACATCAAGAACCTCAGAGGAACCCACAGACCCACAGACCCACAGTCAGGACCAGAGCAGAACATCAAGAACCTCAGAGGAACCCACAGACCCACAGTCAGGACCAGAGCAGAACATCAGAACCTCAGAGGAACCACAGACCCACAGACCCACAGTCAGGACCAGAGCAGAACGTCAAGAACCTCAGAGGAACCCACAGACCCACAGTCAGGACCAGAGCAGAACATCAAGAACCTCAGAGGAACCCACAGACCCACAGTCAGGACCAGAGCAGAACATCAAGAACCTCAGAGGAACCCACAGACCCACAGTCAGGACCAGAGCAGAACGTCAAGAACCTCAGAGGAACCCACAGACCCACAGACCCACAGTCAGGACCAGAGCAGAACGTCAAGAACCTCAGAGGAACCCACAGACCCACAGACCCACAGTCCACTGACAAACAGAACTGAAGTCTGGGACTCAAACCCAGAGTCCACAGAAACTGTCCAAACCACTGGGCCAGTTCCCAGACCCATGAACCACCTGATGGAGTCACAGCAACACATAGATCCACATATCATAGAACACACACACACTGATCACAAACACAACACATAGATCCACATATCATAGAACACACACACACTGATCACTGATAAACACACCACACATAGATCCACATATCATAGAACACACACACACTGATCACAAACACAACACATAGATCCACATATCATAGAACACACACACAGATCACAACACATAGATCCATATATCATAGAACACACACACACTGTACTTACCAGCAGGTCAACAGTCACCAGCTCTTTGATTCGTAGCATCACTTCCTGGTTAAAGGTTCCCGGCCAAAGAACCTGAGACACCAAACCTTTAGAACACGCCTCCTGAGCCGTCAACTTCCTGCCACTGAGCAGCAGCTCGTTAGCCTGGAACACAACAGAACTTTGTTACTGGACCAGAACAGAACTTTGTAACTGGACCAGAGCAGAACTTTGTAACTGGACCAGAGCAGAACTGGACCAGAACAGAACTTTGTAACTGGACCAGAACAGAACTTTGTAACTGGACAAGAGCAGAACTGGAACAGAACAGAACTTTGTAACTGGACCAGAACAGAACTTTGTAACTGGACAAGAGCAGAACTGGACCAGAGCAGAACTTTGTAACTGGACCAGAACAGAACTTTGTAACTGGAACAGAACAGAACTTTGTAACTGGACCAGAGCAGAACAGAACTTTGTAACTGGACCAGAACAGAACTTTGTAACTGGAACAGAACAGAACTTTGTAACTGGACCAGAGCAGAACAGAACTTTGTAACTGGACCAGAACAGAACTTTGTAACTGGACCAGAGAAGAACAGAACTTTGTAACTGGAACAGAACAGAACTTTGTAACTGGAC